GGCCCCAGCCCTTCCCTTCACAGTAATGTCACCCCCTGGGGCTGCCCAGGTGGGTTGCTAGCAGGCCTGGTGCTGCCCCAGCTCGGAGGCAGCACCCGGCTCAATCCAACTTTTCCCTGACCTGGAGCATGGAATAAGTTGGTTTGCCCCTGGGGCAGCATAGGAAGATGGCAGGAGGGTAGCTGGGTTTGCTGGCAGCCGGAGAAGGCAGCAGGAATGGTGCATGGGGTGCAGGGCAGCACAGGTGGGCTGCTAGCTGACTGGGTGCTGCCTCAGCTCAGAGGCACCCAATCCTACGCTTCCCACCTGGGTTTCCAGCACCCCATGCATTGTCTTGGCTGCCAGAACATGCAGCTTTCCCCTGGGGTAGCGCACGGAGGCAGCAGCAGGATGGCTGGAGAAGGCAGTGGTGACAGTGCACAGGGCACTGGAAGCCTGGATGAGCTCAGGGAAATGTTGGATCAGGGGCCTCTGAGCTGGGGCAGTACCCTGCCAGTTAGCAAGCCTGCCCAACTTCTAGCACCCTGTGCACCATTCCCACTGCCTTCTCTGGCTGTCAGCAAACCCAGCCACCCTCCTACTGCCTTGCAGCACTGCCCCAGGGACAAACCAGCCCATTCCCAGGTGGCTCCAGGTGTCCTGCCAGCTGCAGGAGCCTGCTGAAGGCGGAAGTGGCGAGGGGCCCAATCCTTCTTTCTGCAGAGACTGCCTGCCTCTACTGTGGCTGGGGGGCCAGCAGACAAGCCATGTCACTGCAATTTACAGTGCTGCAAACTCATTTAAAAACCCCAAAACTTTTGCACGTGTACAGTGTGATGCCATTAAGCCATACAAAGTGACATTTTCATCATGTGTACATGGTAATGGCATCACATATACAAGTCCCTCAGGAGAATTATGCACAGGTTTCTTTGGTCCCCCACTAGGGGATGGATAATAGGCAGATAGAGTGGGTTGAGTTTGAGACTCCACTCTGTGGGTTTCTTGCTCCTTCCTTTCCTGCTTAGCACTGTTAGATGAAGAGCTGAGCAAAAGTCTCATAAAGGTCACCTAGGTAGGACAAAAAAAACCCCACCACCTAGGACTGGTGCCTTTATTTTACTGCTTCGAGAGGCCAAGTGTGAGGGCTTTTTTTTTAAGTGGGACTTTGCTTAATTTTTAATCTCAAAATTGTCAAGAATGCCAAGTCTTTCCTGTTTTTGTTGGACATCTCTGTGGACTGGGAGCTCTGTCAGTTCTTAAATGGAGAGGGGGTGTTGCATCTTTAACAAGGAGATTTTCTCTGAACTGTTTGTTACGTGTTAAAAAAAGAGAGTGAGAGGGGAAACAAGGAGGAAGACTGTGTTATCCTGACGAAAAAGCAAATCCCTTCTTTTAAATAATTAGACTTCATTTGTACACTTGCATGGTTTCTCTGATCTCATATGAATACAAATTGCCTAATAATCCATTAGTCTTCCAGGAAAAACACTGTAGACAAGACCTGAATTTGTACTGTAAAACTCAGACTGGAAAAAAAAATCACACCTACACATATAACTGTCCATCTTTTTCAGACATTTTTCATCCATCAGAAAGAAGGGGGGAGGAAGGAAGAGACAGAAAGATACACAAGCCCTTTTCTTTCTACTATCTTGCTAGATAACTTTAAAGGTTCCTTAGAGAACTAGAAATTAAATGTAAGATAATACCTAGAAACCATAGAAAATGAGGGTTGGAATGGACCTCAGGAAGTCACCTAGTCCAACCCTCTGCTCAAAGCAGGACCATCCCCAAATAAAAGCCTCCAAGGATGGAGATTCCACAACCTTTCTGGGCAGCCTGTCCCAGTGCTATACTACCCTTCTAGTGAGAAAGGGTTTTTTCCCTAATATCTAACTTAAACTTCCCTTATAGCAACTTGAAGTCATTGGTCCTCATTCTATCACCTGCCACCACTGAGAACAGGCTAGAACCACCCTCTTTGCAACCACCCTTCAAATAGTTGAAGGCTGCTATTAAATCCCTCTCGGTCTTCTTGTCTCCATGCTAAATAAGCCTAGTCCCTCAGTCTCTCGGAAAGGTCTCTGTAGGAGACAGCACTGGGTGGATGGTCTGAAGAATAAGATATCAGGTACCTGAAGTGACCTATGAGGATCTCTCATCCTGATATCAATGTAATGACTGATGCTAGTTTCAGGATCAGAAGAATGAACCAACCTCTTTCTCCCTCAGATGCAGAGTTAGCCCAGGAAACTCACAACCAGGGAATGGACCCAGTGCCGGATTGTACACTATAAATACTTCAGGACTTTTCTCAAGACATAGAGAAGCCTCACAAGGTTTTACTTAGCTCATTTCTCCTGTGAAAACCTCTCTAGGAGGCAGACAGGGAGTGAATAGGTAAATTTGTGAACCAACAATGTAGAAATATCAGTGGAAATGGTGTGAACAGAAGAAAGGATATAGATCAATTGCCAGAGAGGTAGGTAAGATGAAGTTGTGGTTCCTTGAGGATGAGAATGATTAGGTAAGGCTTGTACTAAGACAGGGAAAAAGGTTAAGAAGGAGAGAAGGAATGAAAATGGGGACTAGGGAAATAAGCAACCACAGAGAAGTGGGTGGAAAAAATCAGAAGTGAAGAGTCATTAAAAGACCACAGAACCCTGTCAACCAGTGACACGAGAAGAAAAAGTGTTGGCTGGGGAAACTAAAGAGAACATGGCAGAGGTTACTGATCAGTTGTGGTGATTTAGACTATGGTAACCTGCCTGGACCAGGGGTCTGGGTTGGAGGACCTCCTGAGGTCCTTTCCACCCCTATTTTTCTATATTTCTGTGATCAGTATGGTCATTCCAGTCCAGACCAGAGATTGTGGGAGGAGGTCAGGTTAGTGGAGGGATCATAGCTGATACACAAGCTATAGATGTATGAGATCAAGAGCTTAAAAAAGTTTGGCCAGCTCAGGTTGAATCCGTTCAGCCTTCTGAACAGCAGAATGTGAAAACTACAGCTTATCTAAAGAATCTAGTTACAGCTTAGAGGTCAGGGCTGTGAAACAGCAACAAACATTGGAGATTATGTGTACAGAGCCTTGGACTTTGGTATTAGCTGCATTGCATTGGCAGTTGGATGGTCATTGACACCAACCAGGATTAGCATGGATAAGCTCAATTTGAACCTCTCCCAAATGACACTTGTAGACATCAAGAATGTGAAATGATCACCTGGAATTGGTTCCGTGGGGAAGTTTAACTCATAATGACTAAAAATGTCAGTGCTGGGTCCACAGAAGTTGCTCAGCCAAATAATCGCAGCTACAATTGCCAACCAGACCTGCGTAGGCCAAACTAGGGTGGAGTGACTGGAGCAACCACCCCGGGTGCCTACATGGCAGAGGGGATGAAAAAAACCTGCTACTGCTGGCAGGTTTGTGATTATAATCACAACTGTGCCAATGGCACAGTAGCAAACTGAAGTTGCCACTACCCCTGTGCCCTGGGCACCTGGCCGCATCACTTATGCTGCTGGCTCTCAGGCTCACCTGCTTAGGTGATATAACTAGTTAAAAACATGCAAACATACTCAAAGAGAAGCCATCAGTGGTTTGCTGTCAAACTGGTAGGGTATTTCAAGTGGGGTTCCCAGGCATCTGTCCTGGAGCCAGTTATATTGAATATTTTCATTAACCACTTAATGATGAAAGAGAGAGTTCACTGATAGAATTTGCAGATGCCGCCAAACTGCAAGGAGCTGCAAACACGCAGGAGGACAAGATTAGCATTCAAAATTATATTGATAAATCAGAGAAATGATCTCAAACTGACAACGTAATTTTCAATAAAGATAAATGCGAAGTATGGCATTTATGAAAGAAAAATCAAATGCACAAATACAAAATGAGGAATCACTGTCTAATCAATGTAAATAGTTTCCTTTTATGACAGAATAACTGAATTCTTACAGAAGGGAAATATGGTGGACCTAATCTATCTAAGGTTAAAGCATTTGATACTATGCCTAGTAGGAAATTATTAGCTAAAATGCAAAATATGGGGCTAACAATATAATTGTAAAGTGGATTAAGAGCTGCTTAAATAGGATATGTGAACTCGTTACACTGAAAGGGGAGGTACTGGGTGGGAGGGTTTGCTAGTCGTGTTCCTGAGAAATCAGTCTTGGGACTCATGCTGTTTTATATTTTCATTAGTGACCTTGGTGCAAAAATTAGCTGTGCACTTTTGAAATGTGAAGGTGACACCAAGTTGGGAAGTATTACCAATACAAAAGAGGACTGGATAATCATGCAGAAAGAATTAGATCATCTTGTTGAGTGGAGTAATAAATATGAAAATGCCCAACCAAGAATGTTGTAAGATGAAGAATCATAGATTGAGGGGTCAGAGGAAGAGAGAAAACTGAGTATATTAGTCAAATGTGGAAGACTGGACCAATAGTGTGATTCAGGTATAAAAAAGACTATTGCAGGTCTGAGATGTGTGGGGTATTTAGTAGAGACTGGGAAGACATAACCAATAAGGAAAGGTTGAAGGAATGTTGCCTGTTTAGACTAGAGAAGGGCAGACCAAGGGGGCACATGATAACAGTCATCTGATATTTAAAGACAGCTATAGAAAGGACAGTATTAAACTGGTTTCCATGCCCGCAGAAGTGACCCTCCTGCTCTTTCTCTATCACAGTGTAAATGCCATTTAAGTCACCTGGCTGCTTCCCCATTGGCCTGGCCAGCCACAGCCTAGCCTCCAGCCTCCGCGCTTTGTCTCCAGGGGCCCTTTTGCAAACCACCATGTAGCTGCCAGTCAGCTTGCAGGCCACACCTCTGTCCCCTTCTCACCAATGCTCTGCAAGTACCCTCTGGTGAGGGCTTGTCACCCACCCAGTGTTGCCATGGCAGCAGCTCCTACCCTCCCGAGTTTCCATAGCACCAGTAAACAAACCCTCCCTCTGGCTGCAAGTGGCTGGCTCCTGAAGCAGCTGGGAGCTGGGGTGGGTGGCCTCTCTTGGGGGTTACCTTGCAGCTTGGGGTGGAGACGGAGGGCAGGGAGCAGGAGGCCCCATGTGCGAGGAACAAGGGAGCAGTCACCGGGGTCTGCTGTTACACCTGTGCCTGTTTCAGCACCTGGAGGCAGGGGTATGGGCTCTGCACCCCCAGGGCGCCACCTCCCAGCCTGTCCTGTCACACCTGCTTCCCAGCAGATGGCGGTTTCTAAGGCCCTAGGAGATGGAGCAAGGCAGTGGGTCTTCAGCAGGGCGCGGGATTGTGTCGCTGTGAGCGACCGGGACAGAGGTTGACCCCCCTTAGCATGCCTAACAGATCCCATGGGGCCCCTGCTCTGAGGAGAGTCATCCCTAGCGGGAGCTGCCAGCCTAGGAGGACACCAGCCCTGACAGCCTGGGATGACTGGCTAACAGCTTTGTGGCCAACATCAGCTCCTTTTTTAACAGGATCTTTCCTAGGCTGGAAGCTTCAGTCCCTGAAGATGTCAGATGAGGAGTTTGATGATGAGTCTGATGCCAATGAACCAGAAAAGGAGGGAGAAGATGGGGAAGAAGAGAAGAAGTCAGCAGAGGTAGAAGAGGAGGTAAGGAAGCAGGACAGAGAAATGGCAGCCCTTGAGCATGAGGAAGGGCAATCTCTATGAGGGGGTCATGTGGTGGCTGAGACTAGGAGAGAGGGGCAGCCCTAGTTTTTGTTTGATACTTTCTCTTACTGTCTGATTCTGTCCATGTTGTTTCCACCTCTCCGCCCCACCATCCCAGAGACTGATCTCGAACCCTCTGACAGAGGAGATCATGAAGGAAGGCCTCTCACTCCTGTGCAAAACTGGCAATGGCCTGGCTCATGCTTATGTGAAACTAGAAGCAAAAGAAAAGTAAGTAGGGAAATATAATGCTTCCTCCTCCCCTGGGTCTGCTTCTTCTCACAGATTTATAAGCCCTGTCCCTTGCTGCATCTAGCTGGACCACCTGACATCAGATGATCCCTAACTAACTAGCATTCAGCCTCTTGCATCAGGAGGGTATTGCTGAGGCCTGTCTTTGTGGTTGTGGATTCCCTGGTTGCTTCAGCTGCAGATGCCCAGAAATCATGCCTTAACTGAAATCTCACTGCAGTAGGGTAGGCCTGACCTACACCTGCGTATCCTGGTTCAATGAAGTATCAAGAGAACTAATCATAGGGTTGTTAGAGAACTAGGCAAGAATGAACACCAGAGCCATTCTCTGAGAGAGCCACATAGAGCAAAATGCTGTTCCTTTTGGGTGCCTGAAAGGCACTTTTCCAGCCATATAAGTAGCATATTTGACACAAACATGTAGGTAGCCATTTTTATTACCCCCTGCACTGTGGATACCTAAGTGTGCACATTAGCCTGAGCGCACACAGGTGACTATGCACTGGCTATGCAGGCACCATGACTATGTCCATGCACCCATTCTGGATGCATAAGTTATGAAAATGTAGCTGGACAGAAACCCATGACTAATGGTTGTTAAATGCAGGTGGATGCGGGGGCAGCAATGGCTTCAAGCAGTTGGGAAATTTAGAATCATAGAAAATGAGGGTTGAAAGGGACCTCAGGAAGTCATCTAGTCCACCTCTCATCCCACCCCCTGCCCAAAGCAGAACTAGCTCAACTATATCATCCCAGTCAAGACTTTGTCTAGGCAGGTCTTAAAAACCTCCAAGGATGGAGATTCCACAACCTCTCTAGGTAACCAGTTCCAGTGCTTTCCTACCCTCCTAGTGAGAAAGCTTTTCCTAATATCTAGACTAAACTTCCTTTGCTGCAACTTGAGACCATTGCTCCTTGTTCTGTCATCTGCCACCACTGAAAACAATCTAGCTCCATCCTCTTTGGAACCCCCCTTTAGGTAGTTGAAAGCTGCTATTAAATCCCCTCTCAGTCTTCTCTAGGAAGCAGGCAGACTTAGACTGCCCCTTTCCCATACTGGGTTTGGACTTGCCTTGCTGACTTCCTAACACATTACCACCACACCATGGATCAGGTATCAGCCACACCCTTCTCTTCCTTTGAAGCTTGCCTCCTGGGCTGCCAAGAGGGAGAGATATTGGGGGGGGGGG